GAATTAAACCATTTTTAAAAATCCACAGAAGGCAGCAACAGACAACGTGACAACACTACTACAGTTCATATTAACTAAATCCATCTGCGAAATTGCGCTTTTGGTGCTATATAGCCCAGGTTTTCCAGCACAACACAGGATGCCGTCTCCTATATCCACATATTTATTGAGGGTACATCCATCTTCCTCCAAGGAGGGGACACCGTCTTACTAACCAGCAGGAGACCAAGGTCAACCAAAATAGAATACTTTGTGACAGTGTACCTTGGGAAAGATGTGCCTGACAATAGATTCATATTTTATTATAGTAGTATAATCTGAACCAAAATATTCAGGAAAAATATAAACTTTAATGTAGGTAGCAGATTAATGAATTATTTACAATTCATAATAATTAGCCACGATTTACTGAGTTAACAGTTCCTGGAATATCTAATTACTCAAAGTTTTATAGGGACATAAATATGACTCATCATAGATAACTATTTTCACTACTAGAAAATATGAAGGTCCAGGAGAGTCACTGAAAAAGAAAAACAGTCGTTTAAAATGTAACATTCAAATCATACTATTAGAAATACAATTTGAAAAGTGTTTCCCAATTTTACATTCTATACTGAATGATCAAAGAGGAATTTCAAATTGTATTTATCAATCTATTATTAAATACTGCTACTCAAATACTGATTTGAAAATCTATTTTCAAATCCTATATCTGAATAGAGATTGTAAAAACACATTTCATAAATAAGTTAAAATAACCTAATCACACATTTAAAAAGATAATTCTTTATACTATTTGTGCAGCTGAAATTTCTTTTTACTTCACCCTTTCTGATTATGTTTTTTGGGACCCTTCTGGTCCCTGAGCACACTAAAAAAACATTTTAAACATTCACTTTGGCTCCTCAGATGTAATTAGCTCTCTCATTGGCTAGGCTATTACGCTTTAATTAATAAATGCAATTTACAAATAAAAAATAATAATAAAGGCAAGGCAAGGCAAGGCAAATTTATTTGTATAGAACAATTCAGTACAAAGACAATGCAAAGTGCTTTACCTGATTAAAATACAGGAAGATAAAACAGAATCAAAGAAAGTAGGAAAAAATTATAAAATATAAATAAATGAAATAAAATAAAAAATGCAGAAACAAAAAGAACAAAGATTTAGAGAGGTAGAGCAAATAGGGGAAATACTGAGGTGACATTTATCCAAAACAACCTTTAAACAATATCTGAATGCCAGCTGGTTGATTAGGAGGTATTTAAAAAAAAAAAATTATTTTAGATCCTACCTTTATAAATATAATGATGTGGAATTTGCTGCATGACATAGACACTTGTAATCCGTGACTGTGTGCTTTGGTAGTTAGAAATTTAGGTTGAGAAAGTGAACATAGGTGAAGTACCTTCATTCTAGTTGTTAAGTACGTTGAAATGTTTGTGTTTATTTTGGTCTGTTTACCTTCAAAAGGCAATAAATAAAACAGAAAATAAACAAAACCCTATAAATTACAAAATTAAAAAAACATATCAGTCATTATCTGGTCAAGAACAAAGTTTGTGTTCCAAAACACATAGAAACATCAACACAGAAATACTTAGAGAAGAGAGTCGACTACCTTTTATCTGAATTGTTTTTGTTGTTTTTGCAAGCAAGGTGATGGTAAGAGCGCATGCAATCTCAATATCTCCCGGTCGTTGCATCGCCCCACAGCCACTGGGCCTGATCGGCCGAGTGACACTGCCTTCATCCAAGGATCCTAATTGTCCAGATGTGTTCTATCTATCTCATCGTGACATCTAGACAGACGTCTGTGATAGCCAAACTTTACTACCCTTCATGCACATCTGTGTAGCTGGTTCAAGACTTCGCAGCTGTTATCTAGAAACAAAGAACCATGTCATTATTCCGTAGATTACTTGGAGCCTTTTAGACCTGATAAATGTGTAGAATTTAACAGTTCAATGTTTGACAGAACAAAATATTTTTTTCTATACTCTTCTGTCAAATATTGAATTCCCTGCATGTAGTTGTTTTAAAGAAATAAATCTATGTGCAACACAAAGAAAATTTAAATTCAAATTTAATAACCAACGTTATTCACTTGGATTTGTGCTTGTTTTGCTGTGTTAGCCCGACTTATAGCCTCAGTCTTTCACACACTTAGACCTCTAGACCTCAGTGCGGTGAAAACATGGGGTCAGAGTGCACTTTTAAAGCAGGGACTAAAGGAATGCACATAAGTATCTGTTTTCTTCATACGTGCTTTTTCTTCACTGTTCCACCTCCTCCTAATTTGATTTGTGGGATCACAGCTCCATCACAGCCACTCCGGGTGAGAAAGTATTCCTTTCAGGGAGAGGGGGGTCGCTAAGGCTTTTGTGGGGTTTAGTGACAGATCCAGGGGGATTACCTCAAGCAAAGGTGACCAGAGTGTAAACAACCTTACCCGCATAGCTCCAACATTATTTTTCTCCCTCTTTTCATTTCTTTTATCGCCATCGCACTGAAATATGAGACCACCCAGGAAAGCTGTTGGACATATCCCCCATTCTTTCTCAAGTCTGCTAATTACTTTTTTTTTTGGACATGCTTTTTTTCCAAATTGTATGCATGTCTACTGAACAGTGATCAGCTGTTAAACTTGACACCTAATTACAGTGTACTCATACAGTAAACCTAAAAGTACTCATACCCTTGACCTTGTGCCACATTCCATCATGTTATAGCCTAAAACTTCAAAATACATTGTTGTGGTTTTAGGATAAAGATTATTTAGCTCCATCCATTTTTTTAAATCAATTCTGAGCTTCCCTATTACTGCTGTCAAAAAAGCATTCCCACAGCATGCCACTGCCATCGCCATGTTTTAGTGAGGATAGTGAGTTCAGGTTGATGTGCAATGTAAGTTTTTCAACACATATAACATATTGGCTATAAAGGCCTCGTATTTTTACCTGTAAGGTCAGATTTGTGGAGTGAACAACCCATAGTTGTTCTTTCGACATATTTTTTTAACTTGAGCAATGAATCCTTGTTACTCAGCTGTATCATGGGGCCCTTGGCTTCTTGTGCTCCCATGCCTTGCCTTTTAATTTAGTTGAATGAGATGGAATCAAAGGTTTCCAGCTTTGCCATAACCTTTCTAAATTTAAACAACGATTTGGACAGTGCTTTTAGATGGAATAAAACCTAAATCTACATTTAATATTTGAACTTCTTTATCCTGGACCCGTCAGGTTCTTTCTTCTTCATTATACTTTACAACAATGAGGCTTACTGTATTTTTACACAGAGTATTTAATAAAGATGTTATTTTTCTATTATGCACGTAATTTCTAAAGGCAGTTGATTCAGCCAGATTATATTCATGCACATTTTTGTGTTGCTCTATCCCATAAAATCCAAATGGTTGGGGTATTAATGGGACAAAATTGGAAAAATGCAAAGGATATGCATACTTGCTGTGCTTTGTAGTTTGTTTTGATTAGTTTGGATTGTTTCTGTGTATGTATATGGGTATATATGTATATGTATATATGTATGTGTATATGTGTGTATGTATATATGTATATGTATAGATTATGGGAGATGTTGTTTTAATGTCCACATAATTTTTTTCATTTGCAATTTTTTATTTCATATTTTGTTGTTGGACCCCAGGAAGAATAGCTGTAGCTTGTTACAGCTAATGGGGATCTTAAATAAACTAAACTAAACTAAACTTTTGTAAGGTGCTAGAAGTAAACTTGGACTATGAAAGATCAAAATTGCATAAAAAGTGTAACACTTAGTCCTTATGGTTAATATATATGCCACATGTTGATTTAGGTTACCTTCATGAAGTCACTACAACAGTTTAAATGTTATAGATTGCCTTTGAGACTGTTGGTGGGCTGTCACAGTAACAGAAACCTTTGGTCACAGAAATCACAATACCTAATGTAGACTACCAATGGAGTAGTAAAATATTGGTTTAAGTCAAGCAGTTTTGTCCGTGGTTTGAATCCCACACCATGCCACTTTAGCCCCATGAGCAACAACCCTTAGCTCTAGAAGGCTCCCCGAGAGTTGCACAGTGGCAGCCCACGGCTCCATAGAGGATGGATTAAACGGTAAGGACGAATTTAATTTGAATGCAAAGAATTTAATTGCAAAATATAAATGATTACAATCTTTTTTTTTTTTTTTTTTTTTTACATCCTTTCATTCTGCCTATCCTGTTTTTACGGTGCACAGGAAATCACCAGCTTTTAATAACCAGCTTCTGTAGCTACACCTTTCAAAAATTATTTAAATACTGCATTAATCTCTGATTAGACACCGTGGCATTTAGAACTATCATGCAGCCTTGTGCAGTTCTTAAACAATATTTGCAACAGATTGACTAGATGTTCTTCCCATGTGTATTAGGTTAGTACAAATGAATATACTTTATTAATGGACTAACTAAGAAAAGCATTACAGTAACCATTTGGTTTAAGACATGCACATTTTTCTTCAGTCTTGAGCGTAATTCTAGGGTAAACAACTAGAGGGCAAGAGCAGCTCAAATGTGAAACATTGTTCTGTACAATATACTGTATACATTTTATGTTTAAAATGTTTATCATAAGTTATCAATTAACTGTAAAAAAAAAAAGAACAAAAAAACTATTCCATAGCACTTATATTAATATTTACTAACGACTCTTTTGGAAATTGGCTACTTGGTTTTTTGCCCTCATGAAATATAAGGGTGAGTCACTTTTACGTGAGTAATGCGAAAAAGGCTTTACTGGTACGAAGACAGCATTTATACTAAGTAAAGAATGGTTGCTTAAAACAGTCAAATTGGAATAGTTTAAAAATAGTTTCTAGTGTTTTTTACAGAACATCTGTATGAGCGTTCTTAGAAATGCAACTATGCGTCTGTCAAAAGTAGTCTGAGCAACAACCAATGAAAAAGCGTTTTGTTAACACGTTGAGCTCAGTTGGCCAATCGCGGCGTGTCTTTTTGAGGGGGTGAAATACGGTGGCGGCAATGTTATGGAGTTTCCGCTGCATCTCTGCTTTCATGCCATCAGCATAGGAAGCTAACGCTGGAGCTAAGCTACAGTCTAGTTAGGCCTCTGTCAGAAAGATCGACGGGGAAGTGACTAACCTTTCTTTATGAATCTACACGAGAACAGTTAAAATTACAGAAATATGGTGGTTCTCAAAATAAGAGACCAGGTAAGTCAGTATTTTGCGTCAAAAATGGCTAATGTTAGCTTAGCATCGTCCAATTTCGGCATTCGCCAACGGAATGTAAATCCGAGGCTAGTCTCTGAAACGGAAGCATTTTAATGTATTTCCTGAATTAATTAACCAAACTGCAGCGAAATGAGGAAAAATTAGCGGGTTATGGTTTAGAGTATGATATATTTATTGGAAAACCTGTTGTTAGCATCAGTAAGAGATTAGCTGTTACGAAGTTAAAACCAGCCAATGATGTGGTATTTATCCCCAGCAATTAGTCAGAGCCGACGTGAAATGATGGCTTCTCGCATAGGAAGTAATTATGTAGGGCACTAAGATAAAGCAGCACTTAGAAAATTGACTGAAGTGGTCATTCAAAGTAAATATGCGGTGGAATCAGTGGTTAAATCCATGTAAAGAAGTGTGGGTTGACTGCCATTAGAGCTGAAGCGATCTGTTGATATTGGAACTAAACGTCCGAGGCTTTATTTACACTTTGGAAACATATTCATTTCATTTTCGACTGCAAGGTTTTACAACTTATATTTTTGTCTGAAGTTACGTTTCATTGAGTCATTTAATATTTTTATTATCCTATGAAAGTTACGTTATATGTGTCACATTTTTCTGGAGCCTTTTAAGAACTTTTACACGAATGTCAGTGATGCAGGTGTATCCCAGAGCTTAATGAGTATAATTTCTATGACCTGTCTGGTATTTTGGTGGAACCAGATATGGATCCCTTTTTATTTTTTTGCTATGTTTAACAGTTAAAACCTACTTCTGAACGTGAGAAAGGGTCTCTCTGCTGCAGTTGAAGGGTTTGTTTCTTGCACACGCATGCTATTCTTGTCACATAAACGTGTATGTGTCCTTTATTGTCTGTGTGCCTGAATGATCATGTGGCTGGGGCTCCTGTTGGCCACTGGAGTTGCCAGCGAGCTGTCTCCATGGTGATGGTATTAAGTGGCCTGGCTTGTACGTGAGGAGAGGAGATGCACACACACAGTAGAAAGGAGCGTGGAACATTTCCCTCAACACTTGTCCGGGACTAGAGAACCATAACTAGCTAAATGCAGATCTTTCCTTCTCTGTGTGGAGGATTTACAAATAAACAGTTTGGCAGCTTTACCCCCCTTTCCTCTGCCCAACAGACAATCCTCATTATCAGCGCTTGTGTTTTTGAAAAGGCTGCATAAAAGTTATGCCGTCCATACATCTAATGCTGTTTAGCTGCATTTTTGTAAAATGAAACAAAGTCCTTGGAAAGAACTGAAATGACTCATCTTTTGTTATGCAGCGATTCGATCATGTCTGTCTCTGACAAAAGGAAAATATTTTATTTACTTGCTTCCTTTTAAACTAAAGCAGTTCCTATAACTCCTAAAGTGCCTTGCAGAAGTGTTCATACCTTTTTAAAATTTTCTCCACTTTTGTAATGCCATAAACTAAACAAAAAAGCTTTTCTCTCAATGCTAAGAACTTTACATCCAAGTCATGTGCACCGATCGATATACCAATATGCAGATTGGTGGGCAATTTGGTGTTAGTTTACGGTTACCTTCCTTAAGGGTACATTGGTATAGGAGGGAAACTGAGACATTTTACTCACAACATTCAGATTAGGACATTGAGCTGTAACAAAAAAAGTAGAATATAATTATGTGGTGAAACTGAAGTTGTACATGTTTTTTAAAAAGTTAATAAATGAAAATCTGAATGTTTGGGGTTCTGTTTACTTGGGTCTCTTCTTTGGTACCCCAAAATAAAATCAAATGTCAAATTTACTCAATTAGTAAAACCCAGGCGATCTGCTTGTAATTTAAAGTCATGCATAAGTTTTGAGGAAGTTTAAAACCTGATCAGATTAGAAAACTGTATCCCAGATTTTAGACATCTTACTATTCTCGCCATCAACTATAAATGGAAGCAGAATGCCAATAGGCCCTTGGAGGGCCCGATGAGTTAAACAGCTCAGGGAGGAAGCTCTGTTAAGAGGACAACTGTTTATTGTTGACTCCATAAATCTTAATTTATCCAGATATGTGAAGCAGGTCGACACACACCCTATAATATATGCAGCCATATTGGCATTAAAAGATTTTTCCTTATAATATCCTAACTTTTATCTTCACTATTGCACACTTATTTGTGTTCTGGTGCATACAATGATTATAAAACAGGGTAAAGTTTGTGGTTGTAACGTTACAAAATGTGGGACAGTTCATGGGGTCAATACTTGACCAAGCGGCAGTATGTTTGTATATGTCGTAAACCAATATTTATTAAACCTGCATTTTTGCTTATTAGTCACGGCAAATGTGGAAGTAGAATAGAAAGATGAGCATAGTTTAGGGTTTGCTAGTTCTCTTTTTACTTGTAACTCATAGTTAGTTGCTTAAGCTCTGCCATACATGCTAGAAGACATGTTTTCTACATGACCTCCTCCAAAATGCATGGCTGCACTTTAGATAATAGAATGGCTGGGCGGCCTGGTGGGTTAAACGGGGGTACGTCTCATTGAATTAATGTAATTCTACGTGCAGCTTTGTTCCTAATTTGAGGGACAAGGAATATATCAGATGCAGTTTTATGCACAGCAGGAGATGGTTACCATACAGTTTTAATCAGCTTTTTTTTATTATCTCTTAAGTGTTATAATTTATCTATTACAGTCATATGAAATAGTTTGAGTACCATTTTTATTTTTAAATATTTGGGTCTTTGCAACAGCTATTTCAGATTGATATATCTAATAACTGATGGACACAGTTATATTTCAGTATTGAATTGAGGATTATTGGACTAACAGAAAATATACAGTACGCATTAAAACAAAATTTGACAGGTGCAAAAATATGGGCACCTCAGCAAAAAAGAGACATTAATATTTAGTAGATCCTCCTTTTGCAAAAACAACAGCCTCTAGTTGCTTCCTGTAGCTTTTGATGAGTTTCTGGGTCCTGGATGAAGAGATTTTTGACCATTATTTGCAAAACAATTCCAGTTCATTTTGATGGTCGCCGAGCATGGACAGCCTTTTTCAAATCATCCCACAGAGGTTTAATGATATTCAGGTCTGGGGATTGGGATGGCCATTCTAGAACATTGTAAGTGTTCCTCTGCATGAATGCCTGAGAAGATTTGGAGCGGGGTTTTGGATCAATGTCTGGCTGAAATATCCATCCCCCGGTGGAACTTTAACTTCGTAACTGATTCTTGAACATTATTCTCAAGAATCTGCTGATATTGAGTGGAATCCATGCAACCCTCAACTTTAAAAAGATTCCCAGCGCCAGTATTGGCAGCACAGCCCCAAAGCATGATGGAACCTCCACCTAATTTTGCTGTGGGTAGCAAGTGTTTTTCTTGGAAAGCTGTGTTTTTTTGCGCCATGTGTAACGCCTTTTTTATGACCAAACAACTCAATCTTTGTTCCATCAGTCCACAGGACCTTATTCCAAAATAAAGCTGGTTTGTCCAAATGTGCTTTTGCATACCTCAAGTGATTCTGTTTGTGGCGTGCTTGCAGAAAAGGCTTCTGTCGCATCACTATCCCACATAGCTGAATTGTGCGCTGAATTGTTGAACGATGCACAGTGACACCATCTGCAGCAAGATGATGCTGCAGCTCATTCTTCTTCCCTGCCTCTGATATTTTTCTTGGCCTGCTACTTCTGGGCTTAAGAAGAACTGTCCCTGTGGTCTTCCATTTCCTTACTATGTTCTTCACAGTCAAAACTGACAGTTTAAATCTGTGGGACAACTTTTTGTATCCTTCCCCTGAACGGCTATGTTGAACAATCTTTGTTTTCAGATCATTTCAGAGTTGTTTTGAGGTGCCCAGGATGAATATCAGAGGAGATTCAAACAGGAGAATAACTTGCAACTGGCCGCCTTAAATAAATTTTCTCATGATCGGATACACCTGGCTATGAAGTTCAAATCTTAATGAATAAAAAAACAAATTTTTTGTTTCAGTAAGTCGGTAAAGAGTAGTTAAGGGTATTCAAATCAATAAAAATATTTAGGGTACCCACATTTTAACACCTGTCAAGTTTTGTTTTAATGCATATTGCAGATTTTCTGTTATTTCAATGAACATCAGTTCAATACTGAAATATGGCTGTGTCCATCAGTTATTACATATATCAAACTGAAATATGTATTGCAAACACCCAAATATTAAGAAATAAAAATAATGAAGCTTAAATAGGGGTGCCCAAACTTTTTCAAATGACTCTAAGGTGATGCCCCTCATGGTCTAAAAGCTGAATTAGTGTTCGAGCCATTCTTTAAAACTTTTAACTGAAAAAAAACACCACAGTTACACAACGCTTCTCTATTTCTGTAAAGAGTTAAATATTAAAGTAAAAACCCAGGCTTTAAGCTTTTATTTAAAATATTAAAAGCAATATTAATGCAAACTGCTTGTACATTTTTATAACTCAGTCTTTGTTACATATATGTTGCTATCTCTGATACACTAAAAACTGAGAGTCATTTCACAGTTTGCACCCACCTCATTGAAACGAAGCGGCTCTGACATCATGTCAGAGCGATGCGCGCTGTCTTTTAGTGATAGTTTTACATCTCTATACATTGGAAATCATTTGTGTTTCACACAGTTTATCCATCTTTTGCATTCAATAACCCAATATGTCCTTGCTTTGTTTCATCTTCATTTCTTTGACAGACTTAACATTTCTTTAAGTCTGTCAGTCTATATGGCGGCACCTATCCATTGTTCTAATAATTGATTGATCTATATATTTTCTCAGTTAATCTTAAAAGAGATACTTTTAGCAACATTTATAGATAAACATTTGGAATATAAAGGGCAAAAAACTTAGTACATATTTATATGCTACGCACATAAAAAGTCCAGATGAGAACCCTGCTCAGCATTGTATTGATATAAAAGAAAACAAGTTTTTAAGGAAATGGCTTCTTATCAATTAATCGTTCGTCAAATGATGAGATCCATCAACTGTAGGATAATTTATTAACTAATAATTGATAGATAATGTAGTTTGGGGTTTCTGGCAGAATCTGTGTTTTGTTTTTTGCTCTTAGTCCACAAACTATAAAATTGGGTATATTTAACAGCTGGGTGGCACATCTTTAGTTTCCACAGCATGGCTGTTCAGAGCTGAAGGGCGGGTTATAACTCCCGCAGCAGTATGTCGCAATGAGCTTGTCGCCCAATATTGAAGCGTGGTCTGCGCTATTATTCTACGCCACAATGCAAGAGGGACAATCACGAACTAGCTGTGGGTCTAGATACGGCCGAGGCGGGGAGGAAGTGGGGGCAAGTTTGTGCAACAACATAGGGACATGAGCGCAAAAAAGAGCGGGGATCCTGGTGGAAAAGGGGTCCCTGCGTTCTCGCGCACCTCCCTCTTCTAGCTGGTTCAACTTCACAAGTCGTTTGTTTTCCACAATCGCGCTCATAAAAACAAAACAAGGTTTGACCAATCAGAAGCCTCCTGTCTGCAGCACTGTCTGTGGTCACCTACAATTTTGGAGAGGTGCAGCAGTGTCTGCAGTAGGGGCGGGGGTGCATTTGCAGTCACTGCGACGCACGCAGGTGATCTGGTTTCTGAGTATAAATCAACCTTACTTCTGTCTTTTTTCGTACTTTGGAGAAAAGTCTAGTAGCCTCCATTAAGCAAGCTAATCGACACTGAGCAGAAAATATTTTGGGGCAGAGCTGCTTTTCTCTATGCCACTCGTGCTCAAAGTCAGTCCTTGATGGCTGCTTCCCTGCAGGTTTTAGATGTCCCCTTGCTTCAGCACACCTGATTTCTATTGATAGAAGATTATGAGGCCTTTGATGAATTAAAATTACCTGATTCAACTGTGCTGAGGTCGAGAAACATTTAAAACCTGTAGGATGGCGGCCCTCAAGGACTGACTTTGGACATGCCTGCTCTATGCCAATTACAGCTGGAGAAACCTGATCAGTCTGACACTTTCTCTCTGGTTTTATTTAAATCACTTTAACCTATAGGAAAGATATAAGTGGTGCAGAGCTTTAAAAGGCCCCATGCCTAAATAGTATAAAAGGTTTTCTGAAGAACAATGATGCTGGTTTATAAAAAGCCAGCCATTCATCAGATATCCTTTGGAGCAGCTGTTTTCCTGCCACTTGTCTAACCGGAATAATAGAAGTTTACATGTTAGGGTATCAGGCAAAAAGCTTTGAAATGGTTGGAATTTGATTCTTAAAATCCCACTGGCCCATGGAGAGCTTTCATTTATGTCATACTGGTTATGAACAGGAAAGTATTTTCCTTCTGTAAAAGTTTAAATGTGTTCCACATAGTTAGCCTGTTTTACTTTCCTGTTCAGGACAGACTGTCCAAATGCCTCTTTCCCTGTGTGACATCCTGCAGAGGGTTGGGCTTATTTCACTACTGTTTAAGACCCCAATCCATGTTGCAGTCAATGCATAAAAACCTGACTTTAAAGAACAAAATTTGTTCTTTCCTCTTCTTTTTTTCTTGTTTAGTTATAGATTTTGGCTCCTTCTAGATGTTTGTCAGATCAGCTGCATGCTTTTTCTTTTTTTTTCTTTTGGTCAACTTTATTTGCAGCAGAGTAAAAATGGACACCTATGGAACTTTCATATGGAGCTGCTTTTATTGGAAGAATTAAATTCACCTCTGTGGGATGGAATGCCTTTGTTTTGACAGTTTTAGGAATCCTCTGCTCTCTAAACACAGATGGGATTTCTGAAAACAGACTGAAGATGAAGGCATCATTACTTTGTTGTAATTCAAGGCTCAATTCAAATGAGAGGATTAGATCCACGAGGAGATGAGCCGCGTTTGCATCGTGGTGCTTGATAATGTAGACCAGGAGGTGTTCTTTAGTTTTAAGGTTTCAGCACCATTTCTATATCTTTAATTTCATTGAAGCTGTTTGCATAACAAATACAACCTACAAGGCTCTTAGTGCATGTTGTGGTTTGCTTGATGTTTACAATGTTATATGACACTTTTCTGGCAGAAATGCATTTTAAGTAAATGTTTTTAATGCACTTTAAATCTGTCCTTTCACAGCCTCCTTTGCTGAAAGCAATCTTTAACGTGGACCCAGATGAAGTACGCTCCCTCATATTCAAAAAAGAGGATGTGAATGTGCAGGTAATCCCAGCAGCCATCTATATCAGCATCTGTTTCCTCATATTGTGCCTTTAGTTTAAATGTGTCTCAGCAGAACTGAATTGGATATCTCCAGCGTATAGCTGTCCTTGAAAGGCCTTGTGCAGCACTTTCTGTCAGTTGTTGTAAACAAAGCAGCACATGGTCTGACTTTACAGTTCTGACTGTGTAACTGGCTTAGCTTAGTTATTGCATAGCTAACCATTACTGTCCTGGTGGGGTGGGTGGGGTGTTTGATTTAAAGTCTGGCTGGTTTGCACTTGTTTTGTGTTCGACTGGAATGTGATGATAAAAACAATGAATTTATTGGACTTTGTTTTGACTCCCTATATTGGCTTTTCACTATCATATCGGAGCCAGGGTTAATCTGGAGGGGAAAAAAACAACTAAAACTGTTTTGCTTTAAATGAAGAACATCTGTGTTCCTCTGTTCGCAGGATAATGAGAAGCGAACGCCTCTACACGCCGCTGCCTATCTTGGAGATGCAGAAATTATTGAGCTACTGATTCTTTCAGGTATGTTTTCATACGGGCTTTCAGGTATCAGTTTAGCTTTAAAGCTAGGTCCTTTATCTGCTTTGGTCCAGTCCAAAATGACGACCAGAATCATGATGATGAAGCACTTGTTTGTCATCTTTTTCTTCCTGTTGTGTGTGAGGACTTAAAACGAAAAACTGACGGATAGGTTTGTGGCCATTTGTCGTGTTTGCATTGACGATATTCAAAATTAAGAAAAAAAATTTCTTTTTGTTTTTTTGTGGCACTGGGGGCCTTTATTCGCAGTATTTACAAATTTGATGCAGAAAGAGAGAGGCAGCAAGTCATGATTCAAACCCTGGGCAAGGACAGATAGTCGTCATACATGGTCACCATTAGGGGTGTAAATCACATCCATCATGGCGATTCGATTCAGTATCGATTTCCTGACCCAACGATTCGATTATTTTCGATACTTAAGAATACACCACGATTCGATTCGATTAATCGATTAATCGGTTAATTTTTTTTTTTTAATTATTATTATTATTTTTTTTTTTTTACACCTTACAGGCTAAACAAAGTTTCAAGTTTGAAATAAATCAATGAAAGCTGTAATATCATTATGCATTTTCTTTAGAAACAACAGCAAATAACAGAAGTAGAAAAGTTGCATCAAAAAATACTGCAAAAATACTGCACAATATCAGTGTAATGAGTTCAATGCAATACCTCGGCTCCAGAGAAACTGTCCAACATATTTTTTTAGAATGTAATAAATATATTCAGGAAAGAGAGATGTTGTGTAGAGAGTTAGACAGGAATAAAAATAAACTAGATATAAGGGGAATTGTTTCAAAGGTCATCTGGGGATGTAGTTTTTGGTAGTATTTTTAATTTTCTAAGAAGAACGGGTATTTTAGGGAGAATATAATAGTTTGTCTGGTCCATACTCCATTCTGGAAGGTGGCGGTAATGCACCTATAAGTTGTTTGCCAACCGCCATTAAAAAAAAGAAGAAGAAGAAGGCTCCAGAGTGTTGACGTCACCGCCCCTTGAGAGACGCTCCGCTGCTCCTCTCCAAATTGTAGCTGACCGCAAACAGTGCACCAGACGGGAGGCCGGCTTGTTTTGTTTTTATGACCGAAATTGCGGAAAACAACTCGTGAAGTTTGACCCGCTAGAAGAGCGAGGTGCGCGAGAACGCTGGGAGCCTTTTTCCAGCTGAATCTCCGCTCTTTTTTCCCTCCATCGTCGGACTAAACTCGCCCCCACTTCCTCATCCTCATCCACAGCGTGTAGCATAGACCACGCTTCAATACTGAGCATAATTTAAAAATGTCTGTGTGAAGCTTGCTGCAACAAACTGCTGTAAGAGTATAACCAGGAAGCGCGGTAGGAGGGCAAAATAGGTTTAGCGGCACCGCAGCACGGGAGGGAGAATTACGCCCAGGAGCAAATGGATAAAAATAGACCGGGGGGGAAAAAAAAACATTAATCGATTATCTTGCGGACGTGTCGATGCATCGGATCGTCGGCTTTTGGATCGATGCATCGATACAAAACGATTATTATTTACACCCCTAGTCACCATGATCTATCTCTATGTTATTCACTTCACCAAAATAGTTCAACGTTCAGTTTGCCTACATTGAGGTTATTTTAATGGGTCTAATATTGAGTCTTTCTTGTTTTATTGGTAATGTTTGTTTTATGCAGTTTCAAAGTACTTTATATTGATTTCCATGTTGGTATAAAAGAAAAAGAAAATCCAGCATGTAAGAATGTTAGGATTTTTTGACTAGTTATTTTATTTTAGTGAAAATAAAGACACTTGAACCTTTGAATAAAATGTTGTTTATTTAAAAGGGTACTTGCTTTTCAATTTACAGAGGTAAAGACCATAATGGGGATGTGGCACATTAACATCACTCTGCAGAAATAATCTACCATAAAAAAAAGACAATGAAAATAATCCATGATGACCCTTTAAACTAACAACTCTGAAACTTATCAAAATCATTTTAAGGACTAATTTATAATACTTCCTGAAGGATTGTAAAGTGAAATATTGACAAAATGATGTAATCATGAGTGAAGACCACTTCTCTGAGATACTCATATATAAAAGGTGTTTAACATGTTGTCTTTGGAAGGTCAATCTCCTCCCATTTAGATTCCAGGGAAACTGGGAGATGGATCTTTTCATATTGGGACATATTGCTGAGCATCCATCATCTAACCAGATTCCTATGAATTTGCCCGCTCTTGCATCCCCTTCATCCTGTTCTGTGGAAGACTTGGAAGGGCCTTTTCTGTTTAGAGTCAGTTCATGCACTTGTCTCTAAATGTCTGGAAAAATGCAATAACTTCCTTAAAAAATAGATTTATCTTTTGTGAGACACATTATTGAGTTGATGTTGCACATTTAGACTTTGCAGCATTTCTTGCATTGGTGGCTGTGGATGGAAGCACCTGTCCACCATTTTCGGTTTATTTGCTAATGTAGCAGACTGGGTGAAAGAGCAGAATGCGGTTATGGAACTTGCATGTCACACAAAGCATTTGAGTGTGTTGGAAATGTTATATTCTACATTTAGATTTGTTTCAGTTTCCCTGTATTTATGTGCACTCTGCTGTTATTAATATTCCACATTCTCTTTAGTTTTTTGCCCAGTGAGTTAAGTTTCATTCAACCATTTTTTTTTCCTTCTGACATCGTCTCTGATCCTCCTTGCAGGTGCAAGAGTGAATGCCAAAGATAACAAGTGGTTGACTCCTCTGCACAGAGCTGTGGCCTCCTGCTGTGAGGTAGGCAAATACTCCTCTGACCCTGTGTCGTGCATTCTTCCTCCCTCTGCTCTCTCTTGTTAAATTTGAGCTGAATATAAACAGTAACAAATTTTTTTGTTTGTTTTTTTCTTCTTGCAGGAGGCGGTCCAGGTTTTGCTGAAACACTCTGCAGACGTGAATGCCAGAGACAAGAACTGGCAGACGCCGCTTCACATCGCTGCAGCCAACAAAGCCGTTCGCTGTGCTGAAGCCCTTGTCCCTCTCCTCAGTAATGTGAATGTATCGGACCGAGCAGGCCGCACTGCTCTCCACCATGCAGCCTTCAGCGGTCACTTAGAGGTAATGAAATCAAGGAAAGGCCCAACAAAGCTGAAAGTTGTTGCTACAGTTATGCAAAAGCTTACTGCTTATAACATTGTTCTTCTCTCCCTCTACAATGTCCAGCCAGGCTCATATTTATGTGCACTTTTCTGTTACTATAACTTCCTGGTCTCCCTCTTTAGCCCACAGGAAGCCTTACAATGATGTACACACAATACTCTTTGTAGTGCTGGAACATGGAACAAGAGTTGCATTTGTGCCCATTTGTGATAAAATTATCAACATGTTCTGAAAGATCTGCTAATTTATTCGGCTGAGATGTCTTGGGTTTCAAAAGAAAAGAATGCATCTGAATGTGAATGTACCTTCTGACTACATAATCGTTTGAAAATTCAATAAAAAAAGTACCCAACAAAATATATTGCTGGTAGCTGTGTTAGAGCAGCCACAGTTTTCTTGCTATATCCTGTGCCAATCATTGGTTTCAGTGTAATCTGCTTAATACCAATTTGTTACATAAATAGGGGTCATTATTAGTTCCTTATCTGTGATCACAACTTCTTGTAAATGGCTAGAAGATAGTTGAACGCATGTTGCATAGCTAGAAAGCAATCTGTAATTGCTTGTGAGCTTTTTTTTCAGTGTTATTGTGTAATAAACTTTTTTTTTCAGGAAGCAAACTTTTTTTTTGCAGTTGGAACTCGAACCACATGTTGACATAATCTGTTTTAGTTTTCTAACCAGTGTTGTTTCTACCAATGTGGTGTTTTCCCACCCCGGATTATTTTTGTGATTCAGCTAAATCTGATATTTACTGCACGTGATGTTGATAAGTAGCTAAACCCTTATCTTTGCATGCATAATTTGAAAGTGCACTGTTAAAGGGCCAGTTCTTGCTATAGAGGTTTAGTTTTTTGTGATGGTTATTTTTTTTTCTTTTTTTCCCCTTTTATTTCCTTAAGATGGTGAGGCTCCTTCTCTCCAGAGGTGCAAACATTAATGCTTTTGACAAGAAGGATCGTCGTGCAATCCACTGGGCAGCCTATATGGGTAAAGAACTGAACATTGTTTTCTTTTTGTTTGCTTTAAAATGCATTTCTTGAATGTTAAGTATTTAAAGCTTTTTGAGAAATCATCTTGGTAGTGCATGGGTATAATGAGCTCTTGTCTTTCTCCTCAGGGCACATAGAGGTGGTGAAGTTGCTGGCTTCTCATGGAGCTGAGGTTGCTTGCAAAGATAAGAAATCCTACACCCCCCTACATGCTGCAGCCTCTAGTGGAATGATCAGTGTTGTAAAATACCTTCTGGATTTAGGGGTGGATGTAAGTTCCACCCACATACCTCTCATCATTACACCACAGACACGCATTAGTTTCCTGCTTAAAAGCTCTTCACTTTTTCCTTCAGTAGCCATGTTGTTTTTTTTTATATAAATGGGCCTTCATGTAAACATGCCTGCTTTCTGCTTGTCTTCCTGTGTAGATCAATGAACCTAATGCTTATGGAAACGCACCACTCCACGTGGCTTGCTACAATGGGCAGGATGTTGTTGTGAATGAGCTCATCGACTGTGGAGCTGATGTTAACCAATTGAATGAGAAGGGGTTTTCACCCCTACATTTCACTGCCGCCTCTCGCCCAGGTGCGCACTGCCTGGAGCTCCTGGTGTGCAACGGAGCAGAAGTTAATATAAAGGTAGGAGGAACCACTTTCAGACTGTAATCTGTGCTTTATGTTGAAACGAGAGAATTGAACGACTGAAATGGCAACACATTTTTATATGACTGGTTCACGTCAAGCCTTGGGTTAAACGTTCAGCTGTCTTATTATTATAACGTATTGATTTTACAATAAGTTGTGATGCTTTAAGTCAGGCATGTCCATAGTTTGTCCTCTAGGGCCACTGTCCTGCAGCTTATAGAGGTTTCCCTGCTTCAGCACAGTTGATTTCCACTGATAGCTGATTGACTGAATTTTGCTGAACTGCGATCATCAGAATCAGCTGTTTTTAGAGAAACCTCTAAAAGCTGCAGGACAGGAATGATTTTGGACATGCCTGCTTTAGGTGAATACATTCACTGCAAACACTAAACTTTGACAGTACAGTATTGCATCAACAGATTTGAAAGTGAATGGATTATTTCTCCACTGTTGTTGTGGTTTCTAGCACAAAAAGGGAAAGTGGGCATTTAATAAATGGACCACAGCTTGGTCAGTTGTATAACTTCCATTCAGTGCTGTGGCAGATTCTAAACGATATGCCCAGGGGAAGCCTAACTCTCCAGCTAAGAGGGTTGATCACCTGCTACCTTCCTGTAGCAATAGAACAGAAAACTATGCAAAGGGAACAAAGTACTTTCATAATTAAGCCATACATTGATAATCCAATGAGATCTTTAAGGTTAACAAAGCCACATTCTTGCCTAACATTCCATTTAATCTTTGTTTCTATATCAGTAAAAGTTTAATTTGTATACGATTATTGATACCTCATATTGGCCATGGTTACTACTTGGGTCTGCTGTCATATGATGTGGTTGCCTCACCATCTGGACTGAATTATATGGAGCGTGAATAAGTCAGGACGGACCAGTCACAGCGCAGGAAGCGGAATTATACGATGCGTCACTTTCAGCGCCAGAGTTACCCATAATGGAGCGCTTTTCTGCTATTATAACAATATGATGGCTCGCTTTTTTTTTTAGGCTAAAGCAGCAGAAATTGTTAATGGAGAGTTTCTTTAACGGCAATAAGTGTTTCATAGATGAATCAGGGTGCCTCGCTTGGAGTTTTTGATTTAAATCAAGCTCTACCAGCTCCTTAACAGACTGTATGTCGTATCATTCTGCCTGGCCAGGCTAATGATGAGGTGCTTATTGCCCACAGGGGAGGTGCTGCTATGCTGTCCCCTGCAGCTGCCTTAGTGGACTGCATGCCATTTAACCTGCACCAATGGGGGAAATATTGAGACACTCTGAGATGTTTCTGTAGACTCTTTAATGCAATGGAGTAGATTACATCAACCTACTGTCACAGCTCTAGTTTCATGTTAAACATTTTAGTCCCTGCAATATTTGGCTTGAAGCCATCTTGGTGCTGCCCCCAGGTGGTAGAATTTTCTCATTGGTTGAAACGGTGCATGCTGATGAAGGCTTTAGTCATCACAGCCTTATAACACAGCTCAGTCAGAACTACAGCTCTGTAACAAGCCATCCTGTCTTTCACTGCCTTAGCAGCTTTGGCTTCTGCATTGCTAAGTCAGTGCTTTGAAGCAAGTGATTCAAACTGATAGCTGAGCCTACTGGGCTCCATAAAACCTTCCTCAACCTCCATCGTGGATGGGGGGGGATCCTCCTCCTCAAAAGTTTGATCCGTGATGTAACTACCAGCGTCCCTCTGCTCACTCTCCCTGCTTCAATAAGGCTGGGCTCGACTAGCGGCTCATCGTCACACCTAGACCTGCTCCTATGTTTGCACCGGGCTCTTTGGTGGCATTTTCCAAACTTGTCTTGGGACGGAGTTATGTTTTAGACATAAGATGAGTTACACTTTTAAGTGACAAACTATATAAAAAGTCAAAGAAATTATGCAATATATGTAATGGACGGATTATTATTTTTTGGGGGATATTTTCAAATCAGACCTGATGCATTTAACTGGTTGATGGATCAGATAATTTATCAGTAATCTATAGGGAAAAAATCCTGTTGGTCTGCAGCCTTTAAGTTGCATTCTTCTCAGTAGTTATAAATCATTATTTACCTCTCTGATTTCTGTATTTTTTTGTTGTGTTCTAGAGTAAAGATGGGAAGACCCCGCTCCACATGACGGCTATCCATGGAAGGTTTTGTAGATCTCAAGAGATCATTGAAAACGGTCTGAATCTGCTCCGTTGTTTTCATCGCTCTCTCTTGTTGCCCTTTATTTTTGTGCATTAACTGTTGGCTTCTGTTTTTCTTTGTTGTTTTTATTCCTAAAGGTGCTGAGATTGACATTGAAGATAAAAACGGAAATACGCCACTGCACATCGCAGCTCGATACGGACACGAGCTCCTCATCAACACCCTCATCACTAACAAAGCTGACACAGCGAAGTAAGCAAGCCCATCTGCTGCTTTTCTCCAAGTGTTTTGCACGTTTCTGCAACTTGTAAAAAAAAAAAATCAGAACTGCCACGTTACTTCAAGTAATTGATTTCATTAGGTTAAAGAAATCTATATGACTTTTTTTCTCCTCTAGACGAGGGATTCACGGAATGTTTCCGTTGCATTTGGCTGCTCTCAGCGGCTTCTCAGACTGTTGCCGAAAGCTTCTGTCTTCAGGTAAATGTCTCTTATTTCTGCATTATTGGTGACATAAAGATAAACTATAATGTTACATTTTTATGGATGAAGATCATTGAGCATTTCTTGTTATGTTACTTTACCCAGGCTTTGATATTGATACTCCAGATGACTTTGGAAGGACCTGTTTACACGCTGCAGCTGCTGGAGGGTCTGTACCATCGAGGCTACCTGTAAATAAAGATGAATAAATATCAAAGTGATTGTTTTTGTAATTTCTGTTCCCCCCATAGGAACTTGGAATGTCTCAATCTTCTTCTGAACACTGGGGCAGACTTTAATAGAAAGGATAACTTTGGCAGGTCTGTGGTGTTTAATGACTGATTTGGACCAAACATCTAATTGGAACCAGTATCCAACCTGCGTGCCCCATTGTATTTCAGGACCCCTCTCCATTACGCTGCTGCTAATTGTAACTATCAGTGTCTGTTTGCTCTGGTGGGCTCTGGAGCTGGCGTCAACGATTTGGATGAGGGGGGCTGCACCCCACTCCACTACGCCGCTGCCTCCGACACAGATGGAAAGTCAGTAACCCTTCAAAATATCTGTGTTTTTAGGAACTAGTTTTCACATGTATGACTGTAATTCAAAGTATGTTTTTTAAAGGTATTAGCCTCAATGTGGTTCTCTAAACTGTTTTGTTGCTGTTTTTTTTAGGTGCCTCGAGTATTTATTAAGAAATGATGCAAATCCAGGGATTCGGGACAATCAGGGCTTCAACGCTGTGCACTACGCCTCTGCGTACGGACACCGTCTTTGTCTGGAGCTGGTGAGGGAAACCTGCCATCGAGAATAATGGTCTTTTTCATGTAGCTTAGATTATTTGATTTATTTCCTTAATCATTTTCTGCAGATTGCTAGTGAAACACCTTTAGATGTGGTGAGTAGTATTACACTTGTTTCCTCTGTCAGTGTTTGAACTTTGCATTCATAGAGAATGGGCGTATGTTACATGTTTAATATGTTGATCTTTATAATAACCTGTCAATGATAAGCAAGTAAGTTGTAACTTGGACTGTGTGCAGCTAATGGAAACCTCAGGGACAGACATCCTGAATGATTCTGATGTCAGAGCTCCTGTCAGCCCCCTGCACCTTGCTGTGAGTAGAGTTTTTAAGAAGTCTCATATGCTACCTTCAAACCACTAGGTTTTTTTGTTTGTTTTTTATACAAACTCTGTTATGAACCAGAAATTTGTGTAAGCAGCAGCAAAATAACCTGCGTTCAAACATCAGTCCCACTCTACACTAATTTCTAGTTATTTTCTGTTGTTTTATACATTCTAGTTGGTTTTCTCTGTGATTCCCCTTAGTATTTGAAATTAACAGGGTAATTGTGCAAAGATGATTTTTCTTTATTTTTTTTTTTAGACATTCACCGAGTCGCCAAGGCTCCGTTTGGCATATTTACCGTATTTTCACGACTATAAGGCGCACTTAAACGTCTTTTTTTTCCCTCAAAATGTGCGGTGCGCCCTTTGGTGCGGTGCGCCTTATGTGTGTTGTAACTGCGACTTTTGAGACCACCTCATTGAGGAGATGATGAAAGAGTGGCTGAATGTAAGGAGACCAGGTGTTTTTTTTCCACTCATCACCATCGCTGTTAATATGTGACTTCATGCGTGCCCATCTCACAGCTGATGTGAAAAACATGGGGAAACAAATTAACGCTGTGCTCGCTGTTCAACCGCTCGACATCGGTGTGAACCGGACCCAGCAGGTGCAGCAGAAGCAGCGAGTTTACATGCAAAGTCAATGGTTGACGCGCGTATAGGTGCAGCAAAAAGCGCGTTTTGAGCAGCAGCCGCAGCGCCTCGGGAGCGTTTAAGTATCTGACGCACCGCCAACGCGCTGCTGCTGCTCGAGATGGAAAAATTGAAGTTTTGCTGCTGGACGCGCCGCATCAACCAATCAGAGAAGCCGATCTGGGAGCTGACAGCGAGACAGCTCTGATGACATTAACGCAAATGAAAAAGGCTGGAGATGATGAAAGGCAGGTGTATGTGAGGAGACCAGGTGCTTTTTTCCACGCATCACCATCACTGCGTGCCCATCTCACAGCCGATGTGAAAAAAAGGTGAATCAAATAAACGCTGTGCTCGCCGTTATCCCGGGGGATCTGACAAAGGAACTTCAACCGCTCGACATCGGTGTGAAGCGGCCGTTCAAAGTAAGGCTGCGAGCGGCGTGGGAGCGATGGATGACAGACAGAGACCACAGTTTCAGGATAAGTGGAAGGCAGCGCTGGGCAAGTTACGCCACAGTTTGCGGATGGATTGTAGATGCTTGGACTAATGTGTCTGCTGGCTCTGTTGTTCAAGCTTTTGCAAAAGCCGGCATTATTTCTTAGGAGCTGCGCTGCACGGAAAGTGACTCTGACAGCGAAGAATGGGAAACTGGCATGTCTGATTTAGCGCAGCTGTTTAATTCAGAAACAGAGGATGATGACTTTGATGGGTTTGATTAATACTTTGTAATAAATACATGAATAAAGCACAATCATACTCAGTTTTGCTCCCGCTCTATTTTTCTACCTGAAAACTTAATTCAACAGCAGCCTCTGGGCGGGTCTCCTCCTCTTCACCGCGGCGGCTGGCAGGTGTTTTTTCATCTAAATAATCTAAATCTTGCAGCTATATTTGCTGTTATCAGTGGGAATAAAGTAGTTTTAATATTTTTTTAAGTGAGAAAGACCACCTGAAAACTTAATAATTGCAGTCAGTTCATCCAGATTATCTATTTCTGTCGGAGGCGCTCAGACCCCCACATACCAGCGGTGCACCGACAGTAGAAATCCCTTCATCAGCAGCCTCTAGGCCGGGCAGCCTCCGGGTTCACGCGGTGGATGGCAGGTGTTTTTCATCTAAATAATTTAAACTGCAGGCACCAGGATACCGGCAATAAAAGCGAACATATTCCGTCGGCAGGTTTCAGGATTTTAAGTTAATTTAGGAGTAATCACAGCGCTGTGTCATCTGCGATGTGTCTGTCTCACGGCCAGCTCGCAGGTTTGATTAATACTTTGTAATAAATACATGAATAAAGCACAGTCATACTCAGTTTTGGGCCCGCTGTATTTTTAAAATACGCAGTAGAGGTATTTAAAGGTAGTAGAGGACATGTACCTGTATATAAAAAATGCGCCCTATAGTCCGGTGCGCCTTATGTGTGTGTTAAATACAGAAATGGCACACATAACTGAGACTGCGCCTTTTAGTACGGTGTGCCTTATGGTCGTGAAAATACGGTACATTAAAAACAGCAGTACGCATGAAAATAACAGCAGTTAATTTTTTACCATTATAGACATGTTATACAGTCTTAGAAAGCTTAGATTCTTCATATTTCAACTGGATAGTTCATTTTATGGACACCATGAGTCCCAAAGCACAGTTAAAGATATAGTAGCATGTTAAATTGGAATTTTTAAAATAAAGCTTCAACTTCCTACCTTTGAAGCGATCCTGAGACCGTGTTATAAATCCAATCTTAGATTTTTTGATATTTCATTTGTCCGTAAGGGTCCACAGATAAAAAGTAATCCAGCATATTTATAATAAAAACATTCCATGATGAGAACATCCGCTTTTTACCATCAGAAAATTCCCATCATTATAGCTGAAGCCAACCGTCTTTCTAATTACCCTAGCTTCCACAAACATTTCCAGTGGAAGTATGGTATGTTTGTTTTTATCACCTTTCAGCCTAGGCTTCTAATTCAGGTCTGTCGGTTTGTTTTCGGGTTGTTCGTCCAGAAGAGAGCGGCATTTTTCATATTCTGTTGGATGCCTGTGTTTGAGATGCTGAAAAGGGTGCTGCTGCCTTTAATTGTGACTGCTTTTAGGCAAACATTGCAGTGTGGGGTGTCTTGCTCCACATCTGTTGCAGCAAACCCAAATCAGTTCCAAAACAGATGATTTTATTCCTTTTCTCAGAACTAACTTCCCACTCTCACTGGTAGCCATGATGTCACTTGCCGTACTGCACCGTGGGAGTAATACCTCAGCTACAGAAGCTCTGGGGAACCTAAATTGTGGCGTTAAACAAAAAAAAAAAATCTTTTTTTTTTTTTTGATTTTTTATCATCTGCTACAAAAATTTCGAATTAATTCATTGAATCAAGTTTTTTTTTTTTTGCCCAGGCCTAAAGCAAAATAAATAGAACTTGATTTACTTGTTAATTTTCCCAGCTAAATCAATGGAGATCAAGTAGCCAGAACGTAAGATTTGCTTTATTATGCATCAGCTTGAGTGTAATTAATGCCACTGAAAAGACCACCAGGTATTGTAATTAGCATAGTCAGAAGCTAAATGAATATTGCAGGGGCACTCTGCAACACAGCAATAAAAGAATGAGTAATGATGGGCAGAAAGAGCTCGGAGGACTGTTTTATTATGGAGTGAAATAAAACTTTGGGAAGCCAAAGAGGTCTGAATTTGCGATGTTTGAAATGTCCATGTTGAAAAAAATCCCATTAAATACAACAAAGGTGTCTTATAACCTATACTGGTGGACAGTGGCTAAATGTCAGTAGGCAGATGGTCCCTCAGAGCCCCCTGTTCTGCTGGGTTTTGTGTTATATACAAAAGAAAATGGAATTAGTCTAGAATTCATTACTTTTCTTGCTGTGGTTGTTTGAACCACTATAATCTCAATTTATGTCAGCTGTTACACAACTTTTCCAGACCAGTTTTTTTTATGCTCAGTAATATTTTAGGAAGCTCAATTGAAAATTAGACAGATCTGTGAGATTGACAAAAACAAAGCAGAAGCTGTTCTTTTTTTTATCTGTTAATAACTTTTATGTTGCTAATATTATCAACTTTGACATGACCATATGTTAATATTTTTACAGGCATACCATGGTCACCACCAAGCGATGGAGGTTCTGGTGCAGTCTCTGCTGGATTTGGATGTTAGAAACAGCCAAGGACGGACGCCCTTAGACCTGGCTGCCTTTAAAGGCCATGTAGAATGTGTGGACGTCCTTATCAACCAGGGAGCCTCCATCTTGGTCAAAGATTTTGTCCAGAAGCGAACCCCTATACATGCTGCAGGTTTGTAGTCTGAGGATTGAAGACTGGTCCATCTGCATCATTGCATATAGTAATACATGTGGTCTTTCTTTTTCTGCAGCAACTAATGGTCATTCAGAATGTTTACGTTTGCTGATTGGAAATGCTGATCTTCAAAGTGCTGTCGACATTCAAGATGGGAACGGCCAGTAAGCAGAGAGATTTCTGGGTGTTTTTTACACATTTACAATAAAAAACTATTGCTTACATTTTTTTCTCTGTTATGTTTTAGGACCCCACTGATGCTGTCTGTCCTGAGTGGACACACAGACTGTGTGTATTCTCTTCTTAACAAGGGAGCCAATGTAGAAGCCAAAGACAAATGGGGGAGGACAGCATTACATAGAGGGGTAAGGAAAACTCTTTATATGTGTATGTACTGAAGGCATCAGAACTATCAATTAACACGTGGAATTATATACTTCACAAAAAATGTGTGAAACACCTGAAAATATGTCTTGCTTTGCACACTCTTGGCATTCTCTTGATGAGCTTCAAGAGGTAGTCCCCTGAAATGGTTCTCCAACAGTCTTGAAGGAGTTCCCAAAGATGCTTAGCACTTGTTGGCCCTTTTGTCTTCACTCTGTGGTCCAGCTCACCCCAAATAATCTCGACTGGGTTCTGGTCCGGTGATTGTGGAGGCCAGGTCATCTGGTGCAGCACCCTATCACTCTGCTTCTTGGTCAAATAGCCCTTACACAGCCTGGAGGTGTGTTTGGGGTCATTGTCCTGTTGGAAAAATAAATGATGGGCGAACTAAACGCAAATCAATTAGAATAGCATGCCACTGCAAGATTCAATTCTGAATAAATCTCCCAAAGTGTCACCAGCAAAGCACCCCCACCCCATCACACCTCCTCCTCCATGCTTCACAGTGGGAACCATGAATGTAGAGTCCATCCGTTCACCTTTTCTGCGTCGCACAAAGACACGATGGTTGGAACCAAAGATCTCAATTTTGGACCAGACCAAAGCACAGATTTCCAATGGTTTAATGTCCATTCCTTGTGTTCTTTAACCCAAGCAAGTCTCTTCTGCTTGCTGCCTTCCCTTAGCAGTGGTTTCCTAGCAGCTATTTTACCATAAAGGCCTGATTCACACAGTCTCCTCTTAACAGTTGTTCTAAAGATGTGTCTGCTGCTAGAACTCTGTGTAGCATTGACCTGGTCTCTAATCTGAGCTGCTGTTAACCTGCCATTTCTGAGGCTGGTGACTCGGATGAACTTCTCCTCTGCAGCACAGGTGACTCTTGGTCTTCCTTTTCTGGATCGCTCCTCATGTGAGCCAGTTTCTTAGTAGCGCTTGATGGTTTTTACGACTGCACTTGGGGACACTTTCAAAGTTTTGCCAATTTTACGGACTCACTGACCCTAATTTCTCAAAGTAATGATGGCCACTCGTTTTCCTTTACTTAGCTGCTAACAGTCTATTCAGTCTATTCAGTAGAACTATCAGCTGTGTCTCCATCTGACTTCTGCACAACACAACTGATGGTCCCAACTCTATTTATAAGGCAAGAAATCCCTCTTATTAAAACTGACAGGGGACACCTGTGAAGTGAAAACCACCTCTTGAAGCTCATCAAGAGAATGCCAAGATTGTGCGAAGCAGTAATCAAAGCAAAAGGTGGCTACTTTGAATAACCTAGAATATAAGTCATATTTTTTAGTTGTTTCACATTTTTTTGTTAAGTATACAACGACCACATGTGTTAATTGATAGTTGTGATGCCTTCAGTGTGAACCTACAATTTTCATAGTCATGAAAATAAAGAAAACTATTGTATATACTACTACCGTATTTTCACGACCATAAGGCGCACCGGACTAAAAGGCGCACTCTCAGTTATGTGTCCCATTTCTGTATTTAACACACACATAAGGCGCACCGGACTATAGGGCGCGTTTTTTATATACAGGTACATGTCCTCTACTACATTTAAATACCTCTACTGCGTATTTAAAAATACAGCGGGGGCAAAACTGAGTATGACTGTGCTTTATTCATGTATTTATTACAAAGTATTAATCAAACCTGGCAGCTGGCCGTGAGACAGACACATCGCAGATGACACAGCGCTCTGATCACTCCTAAATTAACCTAAAATCCTGAAACCTGCCGACGGAATATGTTCGCTTTTATGGGTGCCTGCAGTTTAAATTATTTAGATGAAAAACACCTGCCATCCACCGCGTGAACCCGGAGGCTGCCCAGCCTAGAGGCTGCTGATGAAAGGATTTCTCCTGTCGGCGCACCGCTGGTATGTGGGGGTCTGAGCGCCTCCGACAGAAATAGATAATCTGGATGAACTGACTGCAATTATTAAGTTTTCAGGTGGACTTTCTCACTTAAAAACATATTAAAACTACTTTATTCCCACTGATCACAGCAAATATAGCTGCAAGATTTAGATTATTTAGATGAAAAAACACCTGCCAGCCACCGCGGTGAAGAGGAGGAGACCCGCCCAGAGGCTGCTGTTGAATTAAGTTTTCAGGTAGAAAAATAGAGCGGGAGCAAAACTGAGTATGATTGTGCTTTATTCATGTATTTATTACAAAGTATTAATCAAACCCATCAAAGTCATCATCCTCTGTTTCTGAATAAAACAGCTGCGCTAAATCAGACATGCCAATTTCCCCTTCTTCGCTGTCAGTCACTTTCCGTGCAGCGCAGCTCCTCAGAAATAATGCCGGCTTTTGCAAAAGCTTGTACAACAGAGCCAGCAGACACGTTAGTCCATCTACAATCCATCCGCAAACTGTGGCGTAACTTGCCCGGCGCTGCCTTCCACTTATCCTGAAACTGTGGTCTCCGTCGGTCATCCATCGCTCCCACGCCGCTCGCAGCCTTACTTTGAACGGCCGCTTCACACCGATGTCGAGCGGTTGAAGCTCCTTTGTCAGACCCCCCGGGATAACGGCGAGCACAGCGTTCATTTGATTCACCTTTTTTTTTCACATCGGCTGTGAGATGGGCACGCAGCGATGGTGATGCGTGGAAAAAACCACCTGGTCTCCTCACATAGGCTACACCTCCCTCAGCTACGCTTTCATCATCTCCTCATCCATCCAGCCTTTTCCATTTGCGTTAATATCATATGTCATCAGAGCGCTGTGTCTGTCTCGCTGTCAGCTCCCAGATCAGCTTCTCTGATTGGTTGATGCGGCGCGTCCAGCAGCAAAACTTCAATTTTTCCATCTCGAGCAGCAGCAGCGCGTTAGCAGATGCTTAAACGCTCCTGCTGCTCAAAACGCGCTACAGGACCTTTTGCTGCACCTATACGCGCGTCAACCATTGACTTTGCATGTAAACTCGCTGCTTCTGCTGCACCTGCTGGGTCCGGTTCACACCGATGTCGAGCGGTTGAACAGTGAGCACAGGGTTAATTTGTTTCCCCATGTTTTTCACATCAGCTGTGAGATGGGCACGCATGGAGTTACATATTAACAGCGATGGTGATGAGTGGAAAAAAAAAACACCTGGTCTCCTTACATTCAGCCACTCTTTCATCATCTCCTCAATGAGGTGGTCTCAAAAGTCGCAGTTACAACACACATAGGGCGCACCGCACCAAAGGGCGCACCGCACATTTTGAGGGGAAAAAAAGACGTTTAGGTGCGCCTTATAGTCGTGAAAATACGGTAGTTTCCTTATGTCCCCCTTTGCCTTACTCGGATATTTATCACCTTCGCTGAGCAGTTCCATGGAAACCTGCATGAGGACAGGGTGCTAAGACAGCATTAGATTATTATTGATTAGAAAATGTCTACAATCTGTCAAAGCAGAGTTGAGAAAAGGCAGATTCTGTTTCATTTTTGTGATGTGCAAACCCTTCAGTGCTATTACCTGTTGTTTTATGTTTTGTTTTTATCCAACAAGGGTGCACTTAACCTGCGTGCTGCTGCTGTTTTAAATTAAATTATGTCTGATTATCTTTAAATTATACGGTTTTCTTAAAGCTTTAAATTGAGCAAAGGGTAATGTAAGCTTTTCTTGTTGTTTAAATTGCTGGAAAGGAAAAGTATATTTCACAGATGGTGTTCTGTAACATTTTATTGAATTTCATTTTATGTTTTCTAAGGTATGGGTTCGCTGAGATATGCAGATTTTAAACTTAAGAGAAGTCAAACTATTTTTTTATTTTATAATTTTATCTACCTTTGTGCAGAGATTTGTTCTTACTCCAGAAATAAAATGCTCAGAAAAAAATCAATAAAAGCATTTCTCCTGTCATTAGTCTGTGACCGGTCACGAGGAATGTGTGGAGGCCTTACTTCAGCACAGCGCCAACGCCCTGGTACGAGACTGTAAAGGGCGCACGCCGATCCACCTGGCAGCGGCTTGCGGACACATTGGGGTACTCGGAGGCCTTTTGCATGCTGCCCAATCAGTGGAAACACTGCCTGCCTTAACAGACAGCCAAGGCTACACCCCACTGCACTGGGCCTGCTACAATGGTACAGACAAGAAGGTTTAAAGACCATTTAAACCGAGCAATCAATAATAAATACAAATTGATATACACAAATGTAAACCTGATGTTGTAGCATGTAGGCACTTAAATGCAAGCATGTTGCTGATTTAGCAGAGAAGATGCAGCACTAAAATGCTTTTTATTGATTTATTTTTCGATTCAATGTCTTTATGCACCCAAATGATAAATGTGATGTTTTTAACTAAATAAAGATTAAATTTTTGTTTTTAATTGATGCTCTCTCCCATAGGCCATGATACATGTGTGGAGGTTTTGCTCGAACAAGAGATTTTCCACAAGGCTGAAGGCAATTCTTTCAGTCCTCTCCACTGTGCTGTGTAAGTGCCTGTTTAGGTTTGGCTTAATGTGTTAGAAAGCTCAGCTTTTAAACAAACAAATAACCCTGGGGCTGCTTTTCTATTTTTTTGTCTTTTTACTATTCAGAATCCGGGACAATGAAGGTGCAGCTGAGATGTTGATAGACACTTTAGGTCCTACTATTGTCAACTCTAAAGACAGCAAAAACAGGTACACCTTATCATAAAGATTTTAGCATCAGAGAGTAAAGAGGTTACTGTTCACGTGAATCAGAGTGAAATACTTCAATTTGCAATATCTGATGATTTTGAACTCCTTGTTTAATATTCTGTGCTCAGGACCCCCCTGCATGCCGCTGCCTTCACAGACCATGTGGAGTGTCTACAGCTGCTGCTGAGCCACAACGCTCAGGTCAACTGTGTTGATGCTGCAGGAAAGACCCCGCTGATGATGGCTGCTGAGAACGGTCAGACCAACGCTGTCGGTACGAATTCCAGTTTTTTTAAAACAATATGATTCCTATGTGGTACAAAATAAACAATGGAACATCAGATTAGACTCACTGTGTTTACCCTGCGTAGAGCTACTGGTCAGCAGTGCAAAAGCAGATCTCACTCTACAGGACGCTGCAAAGAACACTGCACTACATCTGGCCTGCAGTAAGGTATGCCTGACCATCTGTCTGTAGTGTTTACATCACTGCAAGTATTTCATGCTTTGATCACTATTTTTTTGCGTGTAATCTAATTTTTTTTTGTGGCTATCTACATCTACAGGGACATGAAACCAGTGCCTTGTTGATATTGGAGAAGATTACAGACAGAAACTTCATAAATGCTACAAACGCCGCCTTACAGACGTATGCATCATTTAGCTCTTTATCGATCCGTCCAAAGCTTTGAACAAAAACGGCTTTTTAACAGAGCTGGATATCTCTTTGTTTAAAGACCCCTCCACGTGGCTGCAAGAAATGGGCTGATTGTGGTGGTGCAGGAGCTGCTTGCAAAGGGAGCCAGTGTCCTTGCGGTCGATGAAAACGGTAACCACTCTCACTTATTTAGGTGTTGAGGCTTTCTGTAAAGATATTCTTGTTTTTCCTCCAACATTTCTTTTTGTTAGTAGGGCTACGTTGTTTTCATTTTGACATTAGGACGTAGGTGTTATTTTAAAAATTTTAATTGTATCCCATCTACAAGAAAAAATTGGATTTCTGTAGCAGCATTAAGTCTCAATGAAAGTGTTATGGAGAGTCATTTCCTTTTGTATATTTATGTAGAACACATTATGTTGGAAGTCTATAATTAAAAATAAGCATTTCCCTAAGTCATCCAAATATCTTTGTCTTAATTTAGTGAACATTTTGCTTTTTAATGGAGATCAATACAAAATGTGTTTTTTTTTTTTTTATCATTACACTAGAATAATTATATGCAATTTATTTTATTTTGTTTTGCATTTCTTGTAGTGACTAATTCAGTACTTAAGTCAATATGTTATGCACATTGTTTTTATAAGCTGAGTGTAGCAGAACATGAAGGAAACCTTCAGATAATGGAGAGCAATGATTTTGTTTGAGCAGGGAGAGACCTCAGGCTGCATCCCATGCAGGGTAGGTAGCCATCTGCCACAGGTTGCTCTGCCAGGTAACACCCACCAAGTGTGAGGAGACTGGATTTGCAGACTTTTTAGCAGTTGACACAGATCAAATAATTGTAACTATAGAGGTTTAAATACCTGTTTTCAGATAGAGAAAAAAAAAAAACAAGGATAAACCAAAGGAGAAAGCTGGAATGATATTGGTTTAACGCTGCATATTAAGATGAACTTGATCAATCAGGACAGATTTCTTAAATGTGGTTCTGTGCAGACTTGCTGCTCCTTTGTCTTGATTCAGGCAGGAGTAGCAGTAGGAGATCATTCACTCCTGGCAGTTGATCGCTGAATAGTTTACATGCAAGAAAAGCTATTGCTGTCGCATTAGATAGATTTAGTCACTTGAACTGCCAAATGTTCAGGGGAGTCAGGAATGTCACACACCCTGTTCAGAGACCTTAAGGACCAGCAACTAATACCCTATATAATCATTCTATGACCCCTTTAAAGTCTTGTGTCCGTTCAGGTTAAAAAATGTCTCATTGAACAGGAGAAAAATGTTTCCTTTCTTGCAAACTTTTTTGCGCAAAGTTAAAGGATCCTTTTGCACATCTTTGAACGCAACAGCCTGGTTGTGCTGTAGATAGTGAAGATTGGATGTGTTACTTTGGGTTGTCCCCCCAGTTTTTAGAAAAACTTTGCATTTTGTGTTCTTTTGCTCAACATCTATGGTGTAATTTTGGTGCCACGGAACTGAACATGCAGTGTGTACAATGTGATCGTTTAAACTCACACACCCTCACTCAACCCTTCTGCCGCACGCTCAACCTCTTCTCTGCGCGCTCAGCTTTATCTCTGCTCTAACTCGGCTCCACCAGAGTAACTGATTTGATTTCGTTTACAGCTGTGTTAGACGCTTCTTTACTGGGCTCATCTGCCATTCTCTTTGTTTACGCTTTTGACTGGATCAGTGGAGTCACATGATTCCCCATATGCTGCAGTTTCTTAAAGGGGAAGGAAATACCAGCCATCAGCGAACACAGATTAAAAAGAAGCAAAACTAGGTTTATTTATTTTACCAACATGGGAAAATTGTTGCTGGTTATTGTAGTGCATGATGGTAATGGTATATATTCAGTGTATCGCCCAGATCTAAGTCAGGCTCACCTCCACACATGACCTGCCGCTGGAAGCCAGCTCCTTAAGAGTATCTGGACTCTTCTATTGAGGTGGGAGAGTCGCAGGGCTGGAGTGGGTCTGCTTGTCTCGCCCGAGCTTAGCCGCCTCATGTTGGAGTTTAAACCAGTGGATGAGAGGGCTGCATCCGTTCGCCTTTGAGTAAGGGGACGGTCTTTGATCATGTTCCTCCACCTGGATGGGCATGATCAGAAGGAACAGACCCCCAGCTCTGAGTCTGAGTGGTGTTTCATTTTTGGGCTTCTGTTTAAGTCAAGAATTGTCCATAATGGAAATTATTTTCGAATATAAGGATGTCCATTGTTACAGTAGGCACCAGGACAACCCTAGGTTGGATGCCAGTGATCTTTGTAGTCGATCTTCGGCTGAATGTCTTGGACCCTCGGGTGAAAAGAGGGGCGGAGCTATCACCAATCACCACCTGATGGTGATCTGACTATGCTGGAAGAGGAGGAAGCAGGACTGACTCATCAGGCCCAAACAAGTAGTGAGGGTCTGCTAACGTCTGGTCAACTTTGTGTGAAGCGGCTGGGATCAGAATCAGCTCCTCCAGGTCTGAGGCCATGGTTCTCGACTGGAGAAATTTCCCCTTCAGCTTGGAGGAGAGTTCCTGCCTCAGGTGGAGGAGTTCAAGTATCTGGGTCCTGTTATGGGGAGGGGGGAGAATGGAACAGGAGATCATTAATTTCTTCCCTCACCTATGGTCATGAAATCTAGATCATGAGCAAAAGAACAAGATCCTGGATAAAAGTGACTGAAATGAGCTTTCTCGTTACACTCTCCAAAGTGGAAACTTTTCTCAACAACCTGCTTGATTTTTTTCCTTTTTCTTTCCTCCTGATGTTGCAAAAGCTTTCCCACCTGTATTTGCTGTTGTCGGGACACCAAAAGAGCTTATACTGGGCTTTTGTTTATCTGTTAATACAGAGAGAAAGGATTGGCATTTGATATGTTTTAGAAATGTTACTTATATAAAGTGTTTTACAGTAATGAGCCTGATTAATTTGCACCAAAGTTTGTCAGATTTTGGAGACATTTAGGTTTGCTAGGAACTATTGGTAATTTTCCTTGGCTTGTTAATATCCTGTATGCCTCATTGTTTTTCAGGTTACACGCCCGCCTTGGCTTGTGCCCCTAACAAAGACGTTGCAGACTGCCTCGCTCTCATCCTGGCCACCATGATGCCTGTGTCACCCTGCACCTTGGCGCCCACCCTTCCTTTCAGTGCCGTTAACCACTACACCACCAGCCCCTCCAAGAGCGCCACCTTCGACAGCCTGCCAACGTTGCGCAGCGACCACACCTCCTACTGCAGCTTCAACAACATCAGCCATCACGACGGCTTCTACAAAGACGAAGAACTCAATGACTCGGATTCCGAGACGTACTGAAGCAGGCAAAAGAGGAATGGCGCTGAATGCACAAGCACATACACTGTGTCTTAAAAACAAAAAGAATCACCTACCACAAGCTTGGGAGGGCTTCTCAAGACGCAATCTCCTAAACAGGAGCCTTGAGAGTCTCCACTGGAGAGCAAAAGAAGGGAGGAGGTGCAACAGGCTGGCCCATGCTCATCCCAACCTTATCCAGCACAAGGTGCCCTTCAGCTGATACTGGAGCTCAGTAACCACTGCTTTACCAACGCTGACTCTTCAAGTGTTAGAAACTGATGTTGTCTGGCAGAAGGCAGCTGTTTTAAGGCAATAACATGCTGAAAAGGTGTGTGTGCACACCATGGATAGTTACACCAAGAGGGACCAAAAGAGTTTTAACTCTGTTTTAACTACGTAAATGACTAAGTTTGATTTCAGTTGGGTTTTTCTGATCAGTAAGGATAAAGAGAGTAGTTTCCATCCAGTATCTGCACACTACATCTGTCATAATGAATTTAAAGCTTGTACTTCATATTGGGGGGGTCCTGTATTTTTCAAAAATCAAAATTTTAATAAACAAATTTAAATGTCTTAAACTCCCTTTTTATTTTAAATGGCTGATTCACTATCCTGAGTAAATTTCAGACATTTGTTACATGTGACAGGTTATTAGAGATCGACCTTACCTTTGTATATTCACCTCTTCATCACAGTTTAGAATTGAAATGACTAATTATTTGTACACTTTTGGTTCATTTTGTTTGTTCATTTTGTGCCTTCTAAGTTAAAAAAATGGGTTTGGAGAGGCAGCTGTGAAAGTGTGCTTTTGGTGAGTTTAACCACTGATCTGGCACTGAGGAATCTCTGGCTCTGCTTGGACATGAGAAACACTGAAAATGAATATAATTGCATTTTGGAAAGCATTTGGTTTTCTTCCAAGTGACGTTTGTTCTTTCTAATATTAGTTTTGCTTGCTTTAACTTAAATAAAAAAAACAACAAAAAAACAAAACAAGACTCTTATACCAGAATGCAGAAACTCACAGTTTTGATCATTAAAATACTATTTTAACTGGAAGTGTGTACATTTGTTAGAATCGATAGAATGGGAAGATTTTCATTTCTTTCCCTTGCTTTTTCTTGAAGAGGAATGAAACTAGCATGTACATAGAAATTTCTACTGTGAATTCAAAATTGCATTGAGTTCTTTCAGTACTGAGATTGCTGTATATTTTATGAGTAATAAATGAGTTATTTAATAAGGAGCACGAGTCTTTTTTTTCTGTATTGCCTATAATTGTATTCAATTTACCACATGGTGGATACTTGTCCCAGAAGATTGATTTTAAAAAAAATGTTAAGAGAAAAAAATTAATTTAACATTTTAAATTGTCTGGAGAAAGATTAAGAATTTTGCTAGACTGAGACGCCGCTAACACCCGATTATTTTACTTAGCAGAGGGCTGTAGTGCTTCTAAACAAAGAACCAATCAGCAGTGGGGGAGGGCCTGGGCTTCTGATTGGTCCGTAATCCGGAAATAAACCAAAATGGGCGTGTCGAAGGCGCTCTAGGTTCCAAAGAGTTAAAGCTATGACATTAGTTTGAGTTATTAGCCCAAGTTTAATAAACCGAAGGATTAAAAGGGATTTCTCAGGAGTCATGGACGAAGTGACAGGCGCTCAGCTCATTGCTGAGTCTCTGAAGACTCAGGTAAGATGTTGAAATGTAGCTTTAATGCACCAGAACTGTGTCAGAGTTCATGGTCTGGGTAAAAAAAAAAAAAAAAAACTTGTCCAACTGCCAAACCTCAAACTTTTTGGCGTTAATGTAATTCCGAGCTGTTTTCCATCCTGCAGAAAGTGGAGTTCATGTTTGGGATAGTTGGTGTTCCTGTGATAGAAGTGGCCATGGCTGCTCAGGCTGCTGGGGTCAAATATGTGGGAATGAGGAACGAGCAGGCGGTAATGACAGAAGCTCAGTGTTTGACTAAACCATTAGCATCATGTTCATTTATGGTTGTCTTCCAACAGGCGTGCTATGCTGCATCTGCGGTTGGATACATAACAGGGAGGTAAGTGCTTGGGTTGCTGAACAGAACAATGTGCACAGCTGCTGTGTCACTTTATCCACATGTTGCTTATTGTTGATCTGATGTGTGAATCCAGACCAGGAGCCTGCCTGGTGGTGTCTGGACCTGGACTCATCCATGCACTGGGGGGGATGGCCAACGCTAACATGAACTGCTGGTACACTAGAAACAATAAACAAAGCTTTGACATGCTCTCACTACACATTTTATTCATTAAGTTTCTTTTTTTTTTTTACATTTAGGTTTTGGGGGGATTTTAACTCTTTATAATCCCTTTTGATCACTTGCCTTACTAATCCCCACCCCTCAGTGAGGTCTAGAAGCACTAGATCTATATCCAGCCATTCAGCAAAGATCCTGCTACATGGCTGTACATTTTATTTTGGCATTTGACCAATTAGATGAGTCCTTGAATGATATATTACCTACTGGAAATTAAGTTGAAAAGCAAAAGCTAAAAATTCAAGAAAATAAAAGGTAAAAAGCTCATTGAAAAGTTAAAAAAGTTAATAAGCCAAATTAGCAAATATATTCAGGTATATAAACTAAAAAATGTAAGTGCTAGTATCAGCATTAATGTCTCTAAGGTTATGTTGGACCAAAAAAAAAAAAATGTGTTCCTTTCACTCTCTGAGTGTTTTTTAAATTAATTTCTTGTAGACACACTTTTGTTAGTTTTCTTAATATATTGAGGCAAGTTGGTGCCTCCTGTTATTACACTGACATTAATTTTTAACGTCAAAATATCCATATTTTTGGAATGTAACAAAGGTAATAAGGTCTGGTCCTGGATTCAATTACACTATTGACTGGAAATTTTTTATTTTCAAAGTATTTCACTGAGTGTCCTATTAAGGGTTTTAAATGGAACAGCAACACGGGAAGGTGAGCAAAATTAGCAATTTAATTAATAAAAAATAATAATAATATAGCACATAAAAAAACATGCTTTGCAAAGAGATTCACAATAGAATAGAGTAAAATTCAACTTTATTGTCATTTAACTGTCACAAGTACAAAGCAACGAAATGTAGTTTGCATCTATCCAGAAGTGCTATACAGGATATAAATATTTATATGTGTACAGAGACTATGTATGTATGGACTATAAATGGTATACATAAACAGAGACTAATTGTAAGAGGCTATAAAAAATAAATATGAAAACTATATACAGATTATGCAGGAAAGTTAGGAAATGGATTTTATATACATTAGTGGAGTTATAATACAGGGTAAATAGTTACTGTATCACAGATAAAAAGGGTTTAAAACAGAATTATGAATAAAAATAGAATAGTAATAAAAATTGCAAAAAATTGACAATAAAAGGGAGAAAATAATGAATACTGCATTGGATTTACCTTTCAATTTCAATAGTTCTTCAAGTCTGGGATCAATATAATGCATTGTTTTCATCTTCTTTCAGTTAGTGTTGTAATGCATAGTTTTTAATTGTTTTTGACATATGAAAATCTGAGTAGTGCAGCGTTTATATGTAACCGGGATCTTTATGACTTAATACCTTTGATTAGGCTACTAATTTGTGAATGGGGTCCAATATGGCAGCTTCATGCTGGATGGATCTTAATAACTTGTCTTAGAAGCTGCAAAAGAACGGAGACTGTGTTAGAGATTCAACTTTTATTTTCATTATTAGAAGGACTCAGTCAGTACAAATCTTCATTAATAATGCAGGGAAGAGTCAAAGCTACACGATTTAGTCCAGCTAAGATTGTGTTTTGTTAAGAGTGGATACATTTTAACCCAGCAGAGAAAGCTGGTCTACCCTCCACTAAATAGATAAATGATACTTTGTGTTTTTCTACCACAAAACACCCGATAAAAGATACTGAAGTTTGAGGTTTTAATAGCGTAAAACTGGAAAAGGTTAAAGTGATATGAATACTTTTGCACGGTGCAGTAAAGTAGGTTTTTATCTTTTTACAGGCCGGTGATTGTGATTGGAGGCTCCTCTGATCGAAGCCAGGAGACAACAGGAGCCTTTCAGGAGTTCCCTCAGGTCTCTGGTGCTCCTTGTGGATTATTCTCTGTATTCAATTCACTGTTCTGATTCCTTTTTTTTGTCTGTTCTCAGGTGGAGGCATGCCGCCTATACAGCAAGTTATCTGCCAGGCCCAGCAGTCTGGAAGCCATCCCCTCAGTCATAGAAAAGGTGTTTACAGGTCATCTCTTTTCATGTTGTAAAATCCATGTTTTTCTTAAAAGTTAACTACATTATACCATGTCTGTTCGCCTGTAGGCAGTCCGCACCAGCATATATGGTCGCCCAGGAGCTGTTTACGTCGACATTGCTGGGGACATGGTCAATGCTAAAATAGAACGCAACAAAGTCAGGTTGGTTTCATTTCTTGCATCGTTTTTATTTAAGCTATCCTCATGTAGAGAAGCTGGTTCAAGTATTAAATATTATTATAAATGTGTCTCTGATGCAGAGAGGTGCCCTGCTGTCCACCTCCTCCTGTGAGCTCGGCTGCAGGCGATGCAATTGAAAAGGCCGTCTCTGTCCTGAAAGCAGCAAAAACACCGTTAGTCATCATTGGAAAGGGTAATACAACGAAAGGGTTCTTTTTTCAAACCCGCCAAACTTTCAATCACTGCTGATAGGATAGAGATTTCAATTTATTTGTTTGCAGAATGATTCTGTGAGGGTTTGTTTTACTAAACAGGAGCCGCGTACAGCAGAGCCGAAGATGTGCTGCGGCTGTTTGTGGAGGAGACTGGGCTGCCTTTCCTCCCCACACCAATGGGGAAAGGAGTCCTGCCTGACGATCATCCCAACTGTGCTGCTGCCGCCCGCTCCAGGTCAGCGCCTCCGACCTACAGTTAGCTAATCAAGCTACTGTAATAACAATGAATTTTAGTTTATTTTTCAATCTGAATTGTTTGCTCATGATCTACATCTGGA